GGGGAGATGTAATGATCAGTTCATGTCAATCTAAGATTAACGGTACTTGTGTGTACGGTCTGCGTACACTACCCCTGTAATATTCTAACGAGTAATAAAGGGCTTCCTTTCCTGCACATGGAGTCTAGTCTTATTATATTGTTAATATCCACGTTGCTTGACAGCTAGACTATCCTTCAAAATCAGGGTTCATTTTCAACAAGAGAAAGTGAAACACCTGTTGATTTTAAGGATGAGAAGCGTGATGGGGTTTTTAACACCTATATTGCAAGAAAGCAATACTGTGACATCTGACACTACAGTTCAATTGATGTGTAACACTAGTTACTATTAGACATCAAGACGTCTCACTTGAATTGTTTGTTGTTCCAGATTCAAAGAATATTGATGTTTAGAACATCAAAGTCTTATTAATGTGAGCTTGCATTTCCATTGCATTCTAATGAGTTTATTTACTCATATTTTAGTCATAGTATACATGTTTGTGTATGACTAAACAGCAATATTAGAAGATACATGAAACGTATATCTTCCCTAGCAACTTTGTGGATAAATACATTGCAGGTGTTTCTTATCAAGAGACGCAGAATTTTTTATCACACTATATATGCTATTAGACTAGAATGCCACTGAATAACATGGTAGTCGTCTTATTTACCTGTAATTGTTGTAATTGGAACTCTCTAATGATATATTCTATCATGATATCGTACAATTTGTTCTAGTAAATTGTCAGCATATATCAGAGGAGGGTTTTCAGAACCAGTTCGTAAATGATCTTGTCCTGATAACTTCTTCTAGAGTCGAATGATTCTTTAAGGTTTTGAGTTAGTGTTGTGGTTCAGTTGAACTTATTCACTCTTAACCATTATAATCTCTTTCCCGGGTTTGTACCAAGATCTAGGATTGTATTCAGCAGGTATCATCTAGACATGTTTGGATACATGACTATCTTTAATTTACCGATTTTTTCAGAACGTGTTCGGTAATATGCACAGTTTTATTGTTGAATTGTAAACAACCAAGCATACTCGACTAATAAGGAGGGTGTACATGGGTTCTCCAATGATTGAACATGTGATCCTAATGGCAATGAGTAAATGATGAATCTCTACGTAGTTTATCATTCAGACATAGCCTAGCCTTTAAGGGTTACAATGCTTTGCAGAAGCACTTATGGTAGACTGTAAATCTAGTAAATCTAGTAAATCTCGTAAATCTAGTAAATCTAGTAAATCTAGTAAAATCTTGTAAAATCTTGTAAACTTTTTAGGGACCATTCATTTGATATCAATGTCAGTCTCTATGAAGAGTACTGGTGATTATGATTCCTTTACAGCATTAGAAAAATACCTTCTCTGCATTAAAATTCAGAGTCATTCCTTTCATCAAATAATCAATATACAACAAAATTGTGAAATATTATAATAAAAAAGAATGTTTAATGGACTGATATGATATGGCTTTAAACTATTAATTACAAGGAATACAAGGAACATATCATCATCAAAACGTAAATGGAAAGCATTGTAGAAATGTCATACTATACTTTATGTGTAGGTAAAGCAAATAGATCAATCAGTAAGTTGTCTCACTCTTCCCCTTACTACAGCATTTGATTGTTTTTATTATTTTGGGGGGTTGGCAAAAATCAATTTTGAATTTGCCATTTATCCATTCCTCTAACATTGGAACTTCTACAAATATTGTCAATTGAACAGCATCGCCAAAAAAGTAAGCAATAACTAAATTATCTGATAGGCTAAGCATTATAACATTTTGCGAGGGAAAAACAAGCCTGTGTCATTTAGATGGTACGCATTGTCCCCCCAGTCCTTAAATGTGTGGCTTAATTTGTTAATAGAGCATGCTTCTTGGGTGGGTTGTGTATGATGATAAAATGGGTGTACCATTTGATAACCATTTTGTTATCCAGTACTAACATATAGTTGTTTTATAACTAAGTATAATGAAATAAAAGGTAGAATTTTTTCGACATGTTCATTTCATTCATCTGTACAAAGGCATTTTCAGTGCTTTTTTGACATTTGCACTTATATCTTAGACATTGAATAATCAAGTTTTACTAGATTTACTAGATTTACTAGTTTTACTAGATTTACTAGATTTACAGTCTACCAGCACTTATACCAGATGTTTAATATTTAAAGATGTAATTGGGATTTCGGAGTTATCACAATCCCAAGAATATTTAAACAACTGGTGTTCATAGTTCGAAGATCATAAAGAGTCCAACATATGGTAACCGATGTAGTACTTCGTCTCACCTTTACTCAAAAGAGAGAACGAAAAGTTTGCATTGATTTGAAGAACCAGATACATTTAAGGAACTTCAATATAATTCCTTTAGATCTTTTAATCAAGCAATTATTAGCTGTTATCTATACACGTACAAGGTATACAGAAGTATAGAAGGGTCGAAAAGTAAAGAAGGGTCGAAAACGTTATGTCAAGACCAGTAGCTACTTCTTCAATCTTTGTTTCTAGAAGTCGAGTGGAAGATATGTTTAAAGCAGGCACAATGGGCAGCTTAAATTACTTCCAAGTCATGTATGTAAGTCTAAGACATGTAAGACTATGCTAGAAAATATTCTGACATTTTTCTTAACTTTATGGCCAATCAGAATGTCAGAATTTGTACTGTGGTATAAGTTCGTTGTTGACCTTTGGTGGTTGAATTACCCCGCCATAGATAGACGTCCGTTTTTTATCATAGTGGCCATTTGAGTCATATATGAAATAATACTCAGTAGTTTTTTAGCATAGTGAATCTGAATTATTAGTTTTGTTAAGTGTTTAACACAGTTTGAACATTTCACCCCAGAACTTGTACTAGGTTATTAAGTTCCTTAGTCCCGAAGGCTTTAGGATGTAAAGTTGGGTTACCTAAAGTTGTAGGGTTGATCAATTTGTAGTTTGTTGCAAATTTATTCTATTCCCGTGGTCTTTCTGCTGTTTAACCCACCGCCTACTTGGCTGGGATTCAGCACATAGTGGCAATATTAGTGTAAGTAGTAAAGGTTTGCGTAGTAAAATCTTAAAATTTAAAGTAATTTTAGTTTTTATTAGTAAACCATACTTACCTAATATTGCCACTACAAATATGTCCCTCCCTCCTCCTCCGCTTACAGCAGAATTTTCATAAATGTTATAGCGGAATAATTGAGGAATATCCGGGATGTGTGCGGGGGTGCACAGTGTAATATGCTCAAGAAATTCCCGGGAAGTTGGCCATAGATAGATTCAATGGTGGATGTTAGCACATAGTGGCAATATTAGGTAAGTATGGTTTACTAATAAAAACTAAAATTACTTTAAATTTTAAGAATTTATACCATTTCACAGTTATTACTATAAACATTATTTGTACTAAATTGTCTCATATGTCTTGTTATTCTTCATTTTAATTAAGTATGCATGAAATTATTTCTGTAAAGGTCATGTCAATATGGTATACTGTACTACAGTGTGGTATACAATATTATCATATAGTGGTAAAGTTTTAGAAATGTGATGTTCACTTTAAAATTGAGTGAATGTGATTTTCACTTTAAATGGTGAATTGTGTGTGCAACTGTATTATTGAGGCCTCCATAATTATTAAAGTACATTTTTTACTATACCAATCAAAACAACCTTGTTGAATTAATTAATTATTATGGAAATGGAATATATATATATATGAATCTTATTATTATCACACTTTAAAAAGTGCTTTATTGCCGTCGTCGTATGCATGCTGATGGTGGTGCGGCCATGTGGGTGGGGGCGGGGGGGGGGCGTACGTGCGGGCAAGCGCTACATGAATCGAGTCTCGTTTGTTGATGTCCAGTTGGTTTTATTTGTTTGCATTTTGTGAATTATCCTTGAGAATTAACAATGACCAAACTATTAACATTTCTAGCGTGTTGATTCAGCTTAAACTGTGGCTTTATACTATGCACGAGCTGTGGAAACAACATCATGTAGATTGAACATCATTAAATGTTATTTATTTTATTGATTTAACAAACTTTGTTCAGTAACGTAAATGTGAGACTCGTATTATACCTGATATTAAAAAATAATATTAACTCAATTTAAAGCATTTTAAAGATTACTTCAAAAGAATGGAAGGACGATACTCGCTCTTAATTGGTAAGTCATTTTCTAGAACACCTACATGTAACATTTTGTTATATTCAACGCCATCTTTATAGTGTTGAATATACAGATGCATTGAAAAATAAAAAAGATCCAATCCTTTTGAAAAAATATTAGTCATTCATACTTTGTGAAATGGAAGATGGGAGTATTTTATGTCTGCCTTAAATGAAAAGTTGGAAACAGCCAAAAAGTCTTTCCAAATCATATAGGCCTAGGTTTTCACCTTTGAGCACTTTTCGAGTGATTGTGGGCCAACGCCCAACATTGTCAAAAACTTCCCTTTAATTTACAAGGCACAAGGCCAATTTACGTTTCGTGAATGAAATGAGTGTCGGTTTTATAGGACAGGTACCGATCTATCTGAAAACATTTCTCAGATGAGTGAATGTTATATTTTTTAATGACAGCGGAGGGATTTGAGGAGACAACTCATAGCAGACTATTTTCACAAAAGTGAAATCTTTTAATCTTCATTTTTTGCCATGAAGAACAAATGCACCTCACTTTCACTAGCTCACATTTGTTATAAGAGAAAGCCGAGAACTTAGGTGGAATTATGGATGGTGCAAGAATTTGGTATCTCCTTTTCACCAAATGCACTTTAGAATGAAACACTAGACTTATACCAAATTGATTCCATTAACATAGTGCCATTTCAACGTAACGTCACCAATAATGGTCCCAGCCCCCGGGTCACAGCCTTTGATTATGATACACAATTACTAGGGTGCATGATGAGGATGTGGAGGGGGAGCAGTCATAATTTGTCAAGGTCCTGGTTATGAATAAGATCATGTGTGTATTTCAATTAGTTGTGATTTTGTTCAATTACAGCTATTCTTGTGCTTGGGGTAGGAGCAACAAATGGGGATGATGAATTAACCCCTATACCAGGTGACACTAAAGCTGACCAAATTGTCAAGAGTCTGATATCACCAGGTGGAGATATATACAATCTCTTTATGGAGATGGTCAACACTACGTATGGTTACATTCTCCTCAACAAAGAAATATGGGATGCGTTTGATGATGATTTAATTCTTGTTAACGAAAATATTGGTAGAATTATGGAGGTCATCCGCAAAAATAATGTTTCGGTTATATTAGGTGACCTCCTTGATGGTTTGCAATTCGCTAGAATGGCGATGGATAAAAAAGAATGGAATCTTGTAAAAGAGGCTACTGAAATAGCAGGATATCTGCGGCATGGGGTTTTAACTAGAACACTTGAAAGGTTTTCTATACCAGCTAGTATCAAAAATCCAGTTGAAAAAGTGGTTGACGCATTGCTTGAACTGAAGAGAGAAGTTGCTGATTATTGCGGGTGTATACGGCAGACCACTTACAAAGGACTGTACAAAGAGATGAAAGATATTGAGAAAAGAAGCATTCGCTGGAGTATCACAATTCAAGAAGCAAGAAAAATATGGCGCACGGGGAAGATTCGAAAAGGCTTACGCATGGCTGGTCGACGGGCTGTTGTTGCTGCCCGTAATGCAAGAGCATTCAACTATAGATTGGTTCATTCAAGGTTACCAAATCTTGTGACAAATACAATAACCTCTGTGAAGAAGGTCATCAGACCAATGCGTGAAGTAAGTATAGCAGTGCTATATTTTTGTCTGTGTTGTTGTTCACACATCTGTCGCACATTTTGTTATGTACTGCTTGACATATTTTTGTTAAGAGCAATAGAACCATATACACTTTACGCCATAAATCAATTTTGACTAACATTTGGGACATCTACACCCAAAAGGGAGATAGTAGATTGTGTCACTTTCCATAGTCATATACTAATTACAGATTTTTATGGCCAACTCATCTAAATGTAATAATGGAGTAGTATTCATATTTAAATGAGTTAGCCATAAAAGGAGGTTAATCCGCCAGCTGGCAGTTGAAACTGCGAATGCTACCTAAGCATTGGTGGGTTTACTGTCAGTGTACAGTGTATTTTTCTTTGAAACCCCTAGACCTTTATGTACATACCTGGAAAATTATTTGCTTTTAGTTGTGGAAGAAGTATGAAATTGAAGTAATTACAGATATCGATTTCACTCGATTCAACATCAAACGTCCTAAGGATGGAACAACAAGGAGTCCTTACAATATTGATGAGCTTCAAAAAGCAAATGTACCAGTGACAAAGGTTGATCAAGATTGGGAGTTCACGTTTTGGGATAGAGGTTCCCTATACATCGCACCCCCAACATTTCCTCCAACAGATTAGCAGTGTTTTAATGTCACCATCAGAACTTTTTTTGTGGACGGACCTATTAAAGCCAAATGTCACACTCGTGGAATTTTGTTTTTCAACAAATCATGATACTAGCATGCGTGGTGATCAAACATGATTTGTGGTTAAGGATTAACGTATCATCCATCATGTGAACACACGGAGTCTTTCACAATTTGGCATCTGCAACAATTTGCAATAACTTCCGAGGTGGTGAAATTTTGTCATATTAATGAATTGTGCTATATTGTTTTGACATTTAAAATAAATGCAGAAATGAATCAACTGAACATGATCATATGGTTAATACTAAAGCCACATGTCACATTCATGGAATTTGGTTTTTCAACAAATCATGATACTAACATGCGTGGTGATCAAACATGATTTGTGGTCAAGGTTTAACGTATCATGCATCATGTGAACACACGGAACTCTGAAACAATTCGTGCTGAACATGATGTGGTCTAACTTTTACCTCTATTCAGCGAGTATAAATGTTTGACTTCCAAAGGGTATCCCCATTCTCTGGCTAACATTTAGCAAACAGCAATTAGCGTAAACTTTCCAAATATTTTCAATACAGACATTTGGATGATTATGAACGGACGATATCTTCTTCTATTCGGTAAGTTATTTTTCAAAATACATCAATACAACAATGTAAGGTCTGATTTGAAATGATCATTTTGTTGTAATTCACATTGCATTTTGACACAGTTAACCCCTTTAAAGGAATAATTAATTCATTTTAGATAAAGTGGAAAACAATATGTCACATGTTATTTTCCCATAGGGAAAACTCCATTGTTTTCAGCTTTTGGTCACCCATAATGGATATCTTTAAAACCCCTGAAGGAATAACATACTTATTCCTTTGAAGGGGTTAACTGTGTGTCAAAACGCAACATACCGATGCAACAAAAATTGAAAAAGCAGGGGTGGAATGGGTTGAAAATCAGGACAACATTTTAGAAAAAACATGTGGATGGGTTGTTTGCATCTTCCCTGTCTTAAAGTCGAAATTATTTTATCATCTCTGTGAATGCTTTTCCTGGAGGTAATGCGTTAGCCTTACATATACACTGTTTAAATCTTCAGAAAATAGCCAAAATCCAACATGTGACTGTTCGAAATCTGTCGCGATACTTTCCTCCTCCTTTATTGTCCAGATGATTAAATGCTAAATATGCTGATTTCTTTATCGTACAGATGATTAAATGCTAAATATGCTGATTTCTTGTTTAGGTGCCCTTGTGCTTGGGGTGACAATTGCAGATGATGCTGATACAACACCTCTACCGGGTGATACTGAAGCTGACAAAGTTGTCAAGACTCTGATATCACCAGGTGGGGAGATCTATGAGCTCTTGATGGAGGTGATCAATGCCACGTACGAGTATATTCTGATTCAGAAAGATATATGGGAAGATTTTGAAAATGATAAAGATATCTTTGATAGAAACATGGGTAAAATTAGGACAATGATTATAAACAGTAACAGTTCGGTTAAATCAATACTTATTGATGTTTATCACGCTGCATGGAATAACGTTCGTGATAAGGGATGGAATCTTGAGGGCGAGGCTGGTCAAATTGCATCCGACTTGAAAAGTGTATACGAACTATTTCTAGAGCACGATATTCCAATAAGTTTCAAACAGTATGATGAAAAGTTTTTTAGATCTTTGCTCGATCTACGTATTGAAATAAGGGACGATTTTTGTGGTTGTGTAAGCACTGGCTCGTATAAGAAACTGTATGAAGAAATGATATCACTACAGAAGAGAGCCATTGGCTGGAGTGTCATAATACAAGAAGCAAGAAGGAAGTATTTCACAGGAGAACCTGGGAGATATTTACGTATTGCTGGTTTTACGGCTGTTCTTGCTGCCCGCCACGCAAAAGAATTTAACTACAGATTAGTTCATTCAAAATTACCAAATCTCATAACGATGATCACAAACGTGAAAAAAGTCATCAAACAAATGCTCCAGGTTAGTGAATTGAAATTTGATGAAATGAATTTTCTCGGTCATCACTTATTTTCATTTTTAATGATTTTATACTTGAATTGGAAGCACTTCCCATTAGAGCCAATAAGTCATCGTTGTATTTTCATTTAATATTCTATATCTAAATATATTTATCGAATGCTTTGTTGTTTTTAAGTCTAAAAGTCTCGTTTTATCTTTATGTGAACAGACTTAAATATTAAATCTTCTTGTATTTTCAGTTATGGAAAAAGTATAAGATTGAAGTAGATACAGATAAAGATTTGAGTCGATATTACATCAAACGACCTAAAGATGGAGTATCAAGAAGTCCATATAATATTGACAAACTCCAAGAGGAAACCAAAGATGTAGCCTCATCACGCGATTGGCTTTTTTGGGAGAGGTTGTTCTATCGGGGATATTGGTATGACATGTTGACACCTCCTACAATCGAATAACATTGTATTTTAGAGATCATTATTGTGTTTAGAATAAATATAAAAATACAGATATGAAATATACTTACTGTATCAGATCAATGGGTGGTTTTAACATTAATTCTAACTGGCATCTACCAACAATATTTGTTGGATCGACTAGCGTTTTTTTTTGCTTTTTTATACATAAATGTATTCCTTTAGTAAACAATAATAGACATGCAATTGATTGCCAAAGTTTTATAAAAAACATTAGGCCAAGCGGCAATTTTAGACAATATGAATAGCAATACATTAAAATTAGAAAAGGACGATTCTCGGTTTGGAGAACGAAGTTCATCAATATAAATGAGCATTATCCCTGCTTCGGACACATTTAATTTTTTTACATAATATAGATTTGAATGTCTTCTTTTGAATAGTCATAATTTAATTTGGGTAATATTTCTAGATTTTTCGCAAAAAAAATATTAGCGCAGTACACTGATGAACTTTTTTCCCCAAATCGAGACTTGTATTTTATTGAATCGGTCTAATTGAGCGTTATCCCTGCTTCAGACCAATTTGTTATTTCTACATCTTGTAGATTTAAATGTCCTCTTTTGAATATTCATAGTTTAATTTGGGTAATATTTCTATATTTTTCATGAAAAAAATTATTAGCCCAGGAGACTGTTCTCCAAACCGAGAATCGTCCTTTATCAAAGTAATGTTATAACTCATATAAGAAACTATAATCTTGATATGATCTATCACTCATTCAGCTTGACTCATCTTGACACGTGCGGATGGATGCTTTGTATTGGTGGGGATTATCGCTTAGTAAAATATATGTATGAGCTCAGGATTTTAAATTCATTTATTTGAGAAATAAACTGCCGATATATTTTCCCCCAAAATTTGTAAAGCTGACACTCTCACCTTTCCAATGTTGTATTGGAACGTTAGGCTAAATAGTGGCAATCTTTTCATTATGCTAAGGAGAGCACTTTGAGGCTCTACTTTGCACAGGTATATGGTGAGCAACACCAACAACAAGTATTCTTTTATTTGTTTAACGTTATGCGTTAACCTTTGAAATTATTCCATTTTAATCGTACCTTGATCATATGAGCCAAATATAGTCGTTTTAGTAACCTTATCATCCTTCATTCAAAGGACTTAATTTATTTATTACTCAATTCAATTGGAAAGAAGTGAAATACCCGACCAAGGATGTAACCTTATTATCCTGGCTTATATTAGAATGCCATGCGCTTTTCGGATTTTAAAAGGCCCATTTAAACAGACTTTATTTTCACGTATGGAAAAAGTATAAGATTGAAGTAGATACCGATATAGATTTTACTTCTGTATATTATACTATTTCGAAGCATCTCCCATGAAAGCTTTTGGTCATTACTGTATATCAAGTCTTTCAGATCAATCAAACGAGGCAAATTGTCATTTGCAGCACAGTAACGTACATGTACCGTACCTGTTTGTCCATCATCTCTCACCAATGTCTGAGTGGCGAACCGATGAAAAAACATAGTCCCATATGGATTTAGATCAGTGGAAGCTTATTACAAATCATATACTGAAGTACAAAATAGTGAATAAATAAATAAATATGACAAAGGTTAGCCCTAGTTATCCGCATTTACACTTGTGGTTCGACATAGAGACAATCGTCCCCCTGGTACGTTCTCTGTGGCTTGTTTCCCTCATTTGTAAATTCCTCCTCTTTCAAGAACTCCAAAACTTCATCATTGTATTTCTCGTAGAATTCGCTGGGGTTTCTTGTGAGGACAAACAGCGCAAAACGGAGTGGGTCGGAGCAAATAGAGTATTGGTACTGGCCATTTATGACAGGTCCAAGCTTTAAGATCCATACTGGAAAAATTAAATATACCATATACCTATCAGATATGATATATACTGGAAAAATTAAAGAAAGCATATGCCTATCAGATACTTTCGTTGATATTTTAGCGCACTTTGTCTTCAAAGATTACATGATAAAGTTCTTTCCTTTTTGATTGGAGAGGTCAAGGCTAATATACCAGTATACAGGGTGTCCGTAAAGTGTCATTACAATTACATTACGGAGTCTTTGTGGTACTTAGTGGACACCCTGTATTTTTAGATAATAATGAGTTAGTTATGAGTAAACTTGGGTTGATAAGTGATCTAGATACATGAAAAGGAGAATAGTGACCGACATTTTTACAGTACTGTAAGTGTTAAAGTTACTTTAATTAGGAAGCCATTACAATTTCTCAGCATATTACCACTATCTTAAAATGTGAATCATTATAACTTGTGTATACTGTACTACTCACATGGTGATGGATTTACTCTTCCATTGTCAAGCTTGACCCAAAGTTTTCCCTCGCTTTCAGACTTGTAGCCAAAACCCTCAATCTGACCAAGGGGTCCAGTAGGTGACCTCTGACGGTTAGAATTACGCACAGTAATCGTGGTAGCATTCACGAGCGTATAGTCAGCGTGGGTACAGAAGGCATCTTTCGCAAATCGGGCCTGTATGTTCTTGTTGTTGTACGTTTGGTACCATCTTCCCAAATATTTTTCAATGTCTACTTTGTCAACTGTTTTGGGGGCCTGATCGAAGATATCATCAGCGAGGAATCCTAGGCAAAACGTTGGTAGTACAACAAGTAGAGCCATGCCCATCATTTTGTGCATCATCTTGTCGTTTGAATTTATCGGGAAAGATCTTGTGGTGGGCGTCGTGGGTAAGAATTCTGTCAGACACAACCAACTCACCGGATTTATACTGATGGGACAGTCCCGGGGGACAGTCTGATACACATGTTTAAACGCGTTGTACAATTTATCACGATGTGAATAACTAGAACGCATGACATCATTTCTAATCAGATAACCATGCCGAGATAACAAGGAGATAAAAGTGAACGTACTTTAAATATTTTCACAATGAGTACATATACACTCCCCTCTTAAAGTTGGGGAATTCAAAGTCCCTTCTGATGAAGTACTTAAAGCTAGTTTATGAGTGGGGATTTCAAGACTCGGTCGCGCTTCCATATTGTGCCTTGAAACAGAATTGTTTTGTTCATTTTGTTGTGAAAGTTTGATGATAATCCCGCAATGATAATCTGCCTATGAGTCAAAAACAACAGTACCTTGCAAAACATACTCCATTCGGGCACCTCTCCTCTCTATGCACAATTGAATCCGGTGAACGAAGTTGTTGATGACCCTCCTACACACATGAACATGGATGGCACGAACACGTGGAAGTTGGGTAGTTATTGAATTGAGATCTGGCAAATGAACTGCCCATATATATGTATTGCTTTCTGCAACTGATGAGCTAACCACCAAAGCGTTGCCTTAGCCATTCCAGCGTACCATTTGCGGTGTCAGGGGTTGGCATCGTCTTGTTGAAACCATTGCCCATCTCTTTGGATGCCTTTTTATTTGGTAGATTTTTTATTTGGTTTTGATTTACCGAGTAAATCAATTTCGTCGATCCAGAACATTTATGCAGCAGAATTAATATTGTAATAAAAAGAAATGGATTGTCTTTGAGTCAGTAGTTTCAGATTTCAGAGAAGTGTAAATATAGACCGAAGAGCAGGTGTTATATCGACAAATACATACCATACTCATAGGACACAATCGTTTTCTGTACCCCGAACGACCGAAGGGAGTTTATTGAAATTTGGCTGAGAGCATGGATGTACCCAGACATCAAAGGCGGGCAATCGGCTCACAAAAAGATTAAACAGAATCATGTTTTAAACTGTGAAAGTGAAGTTCACAGTTTTTAGTCCTTTGCCCTGCCCATTATTTTGACATTACTTAATTTTTGACAATAGCCAATCAAGGAAAGTACAACTAAATGTCAGTCTTACGATCGTTGATGAATAAGGCAAGGTTTCTAGATTATTAGCTGAGGGTCAATAAACATTCTAGAAGTAGAAAACGAAAATGACCTACATGTCATCAACATGCAAAATGTCACCACCTGTCCTTTGTTACAGACACCGAACTTCGACCGCCAGTCGCGCAACACTGTCAACAAAAGACTACAATAGAATCTCTCTTGAGTGAACATCACACTCTCTAGTGGCAGAGTGAGTGGATACCCTTCCTTCAAACATACTCTGTCGACTTCTGTATAAATTACCCTCTGTAGTGAACACCTACCGACGCTGAACGTTTTACGGTAACAATGTTCAATTTACACAGGTTTTACTGTATAACAATAGTTTTATGTCACCACTTGTGCTGGTGACATAAAAAGGGTCAATTTGTTCAATTTTAGAATATTTCATTCCTTGTCATGTATCTAATGAATATATATAAAAACTGAAAGATGTAGGCCACGGCTTTTTGACATCCTTGTTTTTAACATGAACTAAGATGGAAATTATTGTAAATAAATACATTTATTGATAAAACTTTTCAAAATTGACACACCACAAAAAATATATTGCACATACAGTTCATCACATAAACAAAACAAAAAATACTGCGAAATAAACTAAAAGACAAGACAAAACAAGAATTGCTGCGCTTTCAGTTAATGTTTTGCCAAAACTTTATGCTTCATATCTCAAAAGTCATCACAAGTCCATTGCACTCCTAAACTCTCAATAAATGAGTCCTTTACTGCCAAGATGTTTAACGATGACTTAGATTCTCTTTCCCCTTGCTCCTGAAATTATTTTCTGGTTGTTGGAACTAGACCATCGATAGATTCACCCTTCTCTAGTCTCTTCTCCATATCTATCATCAAGTTGACTCCATCAATGACGAATTGTACAAGTTCAACTTCAGAAAATCCTAAACGATCAGCATTGGAGATGTCAAAAGTGTCACCGGTAGTTGCAGTGTCTACACCACCTGTAAAAATAAAGAAAAATTGATGGTGAATCATGAATTTATTTATTGGAGTCTAAGCCTAAAAATAAGTTGATGAATAGACCTATCATAGGTATTTTTCATAAGCACAACCATAGCTGTTGAAGTCGAAGATAATTATAGAAGATGTTGGGCTGAAAATAAATAGACACACTGACATAACAACAATCATATCCCGTGGCCAAATATTCTTTCAAATTCATGCAGTTTTTCACAATTATGAGCACTTTTCAAGTGAGTTGGGCCATTTTTGGGCTAAATTCGTCCAAAGTGGCAAATCCCGACTCCGGGTCTGTCCTCATTATATCATATATGATGCATATCATGGAAAAATAAGTTTCCCCTACAACAACGCACCTGTTCCACGTTTCTGGAGACGAAGTTTGTCAAGGATTTCATCAAGTCTGGCATCAGTACTGAGTTTAGGAATCCTCAGATGGACTCCGGCTCGAAGCCCTGTCCCAAGATTACTTGGACAAGTTAGGACGTAGCCGAGATGTTCGTTCCACATGAATTCTTTACCCTTGGACTTGATAGCAGCTTCAACCATGTTAATACCATTACAAAACCGTGTGAACACCTCGCCAAAGTTGCCTCCTTTCTGCATGGAGATGACACGGTAATGGTCCTCTTCATTGATCCAAACTAAGAAGTTCTTGGCACTGTTATGCCTGAAAGTATATAACACATGACGTTTAAATTATTTAAAATGAAATATTCAAGAGTTTTATGTGATCAGGGGTGTACCCAGCAATTGTCAGGGGGGGGGGGGCGTGCCAAGTGAGCCTCAAAAAGGGGGATAAAGTTGTTAAAATTTCGATATGGTGCATTCTTAACCTTTCATTGTTGAAATTTCGACAAATACACAATTGATTTTTTTCTCAATGTCTCAGCTTTGTGTATTATAAAGGCTATCTCCTCTTACAAAATGGTTAAGTGTTGTCATAATGTTTATTTTCTCGTTCAAATGGAGTATTTTACCAGGTACAGTATTTTACTCACCAGATTCCACGACCATCAGGCCAGTCACGGGCCATACCGGCACAAGTAAGGAGTGGGGAGACTGGTTTATCAAATAGGAAATGGTCATCAATGAGTTGATCTTGTTCAGCCTCAGTCATACCATTCAGAGGATAGTATTTGCCACTGAATTCACCTTCCAAACTACCAAGTGCATCAGTCCCGATTGTCTCAATTGCACGTCGTTCTGCTCTTGTGCAATGAGGGGGGAGGCAGATGCCACGGATAGATCGACCAGTACGGACACGAGAGCTGAGTACATATTTATCATCAAGTTGGCCACCCTTGATGTTGGCAGGGTTCATATCGGTCTTATGTTTGGCATCTTTTGCATAACCACCATGCCTGGCATCAATTACAGGGTCAAGGAGTGGGCCAAACACATCATAGGACTCTTCATCACCAGCAACTGCCCCAACTGTCATGATAAAAGGGTGACCTAGAAAATGATAAGAACACACAAAATAAGTACAATGATTTTAAGTTACCTGACTTTGAAAAGATGCACTCTATGTTTTATTACCAAGGATTCATCCCCCTTCACCTATGGAAAGCTGGTAAATGCTAAATGCAATTGTACTTTGCCATAATAGCAGCGAGTACAGTACATAAAAATGGAAATATTTCAGCCACTTGGATCACCACAATTTAAACAAACAAATAAACAAACCTGGATTATCAACTCCAGTCTGAATAATTTTATCCAGGGTATATCCAGATGGTGTTTCTTTATCTCTCAGTTGGGCATAGATCTCCGGTGTTAGACACTTAGCCATCCAGTTGTTATGTTTGCTCAGGTCTGGGAAGTCCTCTTTGGGGTCATAGTTCTTCTGTAACCTGTTTGCCATCTTGGATGTACTTGAACTGAAAAAAAGAATCAGAATGAACAATTTATTAAATATGTTTATCCTGAATATGTGAATTTTTAGGTTGTATAGGCCTAGTTGGGATTGTGTGTGTGTGTGTGTGTGTGTGTGTGTGTGTGGGGGGGGGGGGTGTTCAGGATCAATCCATTTCTCATGCATGCAAAAGGAAAATCCCAGCAAGTCTACCCAATGAATATAAAATTATCCATAGTAATGCTGAGGCAGCTATGAGCTGAGACTCATAGGTCTAATATTCTCAAATTAGGCCTAGACTTCACATGATAGCTCTACTTGATACAACTTCCTCAAGTTCCTATTGAAATTCAAAACAAATAAAATATCTCTTTTGAATTTTGATAGGATTGGCGCCTCATAAATTATGTTCATAAGCTAAGCACTGGCCGCAATTTCCACATTCTAGACATCGTTTATATACAAAGAAAAAGACAAACCCAATGTAAAAAACAAAAGATTCTACAAGAAAAATGAAAACTTACCTCAAAGAGAAACACACGTCTCGACACAACAAAAACTGAAACCGAAAGCGTCAGGTGAAAACGCTGTAGTGTGATTGGTCCATTTTTCTTGTGACGTAACTACTGTTGTTGCTACCAAAAAGTGTTACGACTCAGAAAGTTACTTCCCATTTTCATACGTTGAAAAATTTATAAATCGTGGTTAATATACCAAACTGATAGCTTTTCAAAGTTTAACTTCACCTCTTATCATTTTATTGAAGGGTATTAGTCTTGGTAGCAGTTATTAATTGGTAATTTTGCGACACTGCATTTTCAAGATGGCTGCGCCCTGAAAAACGTGAATATTTTTCAAAATTTCTTGAAATCGTTGTAATTCGCTATAAATATGAGTTTTAAAGAATATAGACCGAATATACTCGATGGAGATACCGTTGTGCTGTTCATGGGTCATGCCAACATGCTCTCTTTGAAACTGCAAAAAGGGGAAGTATTCCAAACAAAATTTGGAGCACTTCATCATGACGATGTGATTGGAAAGAAGTATGGGAGTAAAGTTAGAACAGGGAAAGGGTTTGTTTACGTGTTGCATTTTACACCAGAATTATGGACTCTCAATCTTCCTCACAGGACTCAAATTTTGTATGCAACTGATATCAGTATGGTGACAATACAGTTGGATCTCAAACCTGGATCTATCGTTGTGGAATCAGGTATAATATTTAGATGCCATGACTGGAGACCCTATCTGTTGCAAGACTAACGCCTGGCTTAACCGTCACCATGTAATTCAGTGTTTTTAAGTAGCGCAAGGATCCTGCCATGACCGTGGTAATGTTATCGTGAAAGCCTGGTATAACCGCGACAATGCTGTATTATATTGCAATGCCTGCCATGACCGTGACAATGTAATATACTGTAGTACTGCAAGGCCTGGCATGACCGTGAAAATGTTATATATTTCTGCAAGGCCTGGCATGACCGTGACAATGTAATATAGTATTGCAAGTTCAGGTATGGGAGTGGTAATGTAGAAATTTACGATTAGGACTGCTATAACCGTGACAATGTGTATTGCAAAGCCCGGCATGACCGTGGCAATGTAATATAGTACTGCAAGGCCTGGCATGGCCGTGACAATGTAATATAGTATTGCAAGGCTTGGTATGACCGCCGTGGCAATGTGATATAGTATTCCAAGTTCAGGTATGAGAGTGGTAATGTAGAAATTTATGATTGCTGTAAGTGACCGTGACAATGTGTATTTCGAAACCTGGCATGACTGTGACAATGTATTATGGGATCGGAAAGCCTGGTATGACCGTGACAATGTAATATAGTATTGCAAGGCCAGGTATGAGGGTGGTAATGTAGAAATTTAGGCTTAGTCCTACACTATGACCGTTATTGTACATGTATTGCAATGACTAGTAAATATGTACAGTATGACATTAATGTCAGGAATATCCTTAACAATTTCAAGTGATCGTCATTATAATGATACAATTAAACAGTTTAATACTATGATCATGGTGTTTAACTACCTTACTCATGTCAAAATCAAAATAAGCTACTATTATACATTAATATTCACATTCGCTTATAAACCACAATAAAGGCTACGAACGCCCCAGGCTTCCATGATAACACTTCCACGGTCATGACAGGCCTTGCAATATAATACAGCATTGTCACGGTTATACCAGCCTGTCATGGTTATACCAGGCTTTTACGATAACACTACCACGGTCATGGCAGGATCCTTGCGATACTTAAAAACACTGATTAACATGGCGACGGTTGTGACAGGCGTAAGTCTTGCAATAGATAGCATGTGCATGACTGTTACTAAGATGTTAACATCATACTCTTTATTTTTTATATAAAGGTCATCCATCATCAGTATATATGCTGTTATATTATGGGCTTTCAAGAAAGCCTTTATCTCTTGAAATCCTTCTTTATCCTAAAGTAAAATTTTAAATGTTAGGAACTACTTTGAATTTAAAAAATTACAAAGCAATCAAATAACTATATTGCAACACTATATAAAAAAATAGAAACACATGTACTTGTCCTAACTTTTGTATATTTCAGATGTGCAGTAAAGCTGTGGCCTTTTGTAATTTAGGGAGTTTCAGCCATGTTAATTTTTCCAAAAATAACATGGCGGAGAAGCATCAAAATATAAGAGGGCACAGATATGATAGCTAAACTACAAAACAAACTGAAATATACAAAAGTTAGGACATGTATAAATGTTTCTATTTTTACATATACTGGTTCAATATGGTCCTTTGATTGCTTATTTTTTAAATTCAAAGTACACTGGTGATCCACTCGATTACGCTGGTTACGAAAACGGTTCGTTTTGGTAACAAAATGTCGGAACATCCGGAAGGTACGATTTTTCTCGTTTCCTTATTTTACACGTTGTAGGCAGAATTCCCACGACATTTTTTAACACAAACTTGTATCAGTATCATAAGTTTAAGAAAGTGTACATATTTGCGAACAAATAGTTCAGAAGACAACAGAATCGTCGATTCACTTCCTCATTTAAGTTACATAAACGGTTTGGGTTAAAAGTGCAGATCTTAACTGTTTTTCGAAAAACCGTTTCTGTAACTTAAGTGAGGAAGTAAATCGACGATTCTGTTGTCCTCTGAGCTATTTTTTAGCAAACATGTACATTTTCTAAAACATATGATACTGATGTACGTTGTGAGAAAAAACGTCGTAGGGATTCTGCCTACAACGCGTGAAATAAGGAAAAAGGAAAAATCGTGCCTTCGACGTTCCGACATTTTGTTACCAAAACGGTTCGTTTTGGTAACCAGCGTAATCGAGTGGATCACCAGTGAAGTAGTTACTAACATTTAAAATTTAACTGTAGTCATATAAATCCGACCATCGTATGCTTTATTTGTCGTTATTTTTTGATAATTTTGATACAAGAGTCTGGTACAACCTAATTTAGAATATGGCATTAGCATTATCTCCACTGTAACAGACAAAGCTATATCTACATACAGAACTGTACATAGACAGGCACTGTTGAGAGCAACTGGATGTTTACAGTCCACAAGCACAGAAACTCTTGAAGTCCTCACAAACACACTGCCGTTAGACATTCTTTTCAAAGCCAGACAGGCCCAAGATATATAACGACTTACTAAAACAATGAAATGGACTTTAGACACTGTCGTCTGAACACTTGATGCAGTTTATTACTGGATGCTGTCGCTTATTCACTCACTTTAGAGTCTTTTAAGAAGCTCTTTAGATGGCCAACAATCTTGTTGTTGACTGAATGATGACTTAAAAGTTCATGGTTATATCTACACTCATGATACTGCTGAAATCCACCACTATTAGTCATCTTATATTCACCATGTGTCTATTTACTTGAGTACTCGATATGTCCTCCTTTGAGAACCTAGGTTACAATGTGAGACTCGCGACAGTGAAGACATTATTCTTTGGAAATAAAATCGAAAAAATATTTCCTTTTGTCAATTTCCCATGTTGCTCAAATGAGTGAACAGTGGGATATGGGCTGGTCTTATTTTAATGCATCATTACAGTTCTTGTATCAATAAGGCATGAAGGTCAGACTGCACTTTCTACCATTTTGATGACCTGTGCTTTTTCAGATAAACGTTACTCATTCTAAATAGTATGCTTTATTTGTCGTTATATTTTGATAATTTTGATACAAGAGTCTGGTACAACCTAATTTAGAATATGGCATTAGCATAATCTCCACTGTAACAGACAAAGCAATATCTACATACAGAACTGTACATAGACAGGCACTGTTGAGAGCAACTGGATGTTTACAGTCCACAAGCACAGAAACTCTTGAAGTCCTCACAAACACACTGCTGTTAGACATTCTTCTCAAAGCCAGACAGGCAAGATATATAATGACTTACTAAAACAGTGAAATGGACTTTAGACACTGTAATGTTGTCGTCTGAACACTTGATGCAGTTTATTACTGGATGCTGTTGCTTATTCACTCACTTTAGAGTCTTTTAAGAAGCTCTTGAGATGGCCAACAATCTTGTTGTTGACTGAATGATGACTTAAAAGCTCATGGTTATATTTACACTCATGATACTGCTGAAATTCACCACTATTAGTCATCTTATATTCACCATGTGTCTATTTACTTGAGTACTCGATATGTCCTCCTTTGAGAACCTAGGTTACAATGTGAGACTCTCGCGACAGTGAAGACATTATTCTTTGGAAATAAAATCGAAAAAATATTTCCTTTTGTCAATTTCCCATGTTGCTCAAATGAATGAACAGTGGGATATGGGCTGGTCTTATTTTAATGCATCATTACAGTTCTTGTATCAATAAGGCATTAAGGTCAGACTGCACTTTCTACCATTTTGATGACCTGTGCTTTTTCAGATAAACATTACTCATTCTAAACACGGTCTAAATCTTTCATATTTGCACGAATGGTGCTTTAGTGCACTCAAATTAATTCAATTCAATTCAATTATTTATTTCATAATTCTTATATAATATACACTATAAAAACAAGCCACTAGACACCCTAGTGGGTATATGTTGCGGTTTAACAGAAATCATTAAAATGACAACTAGACTACATATAAAAGAAAACACTTATATTATGTTACATGTAGGTATATAAAAATGGTATTAACAATTAATCTAAGGATGTACAATGTAAAAATGTTACAAAAATCGGGTACCAGTATAAAATCAACAGTATAGTATGATATTGGTATTATACATTATCGATAGATGAGTAGTTTTTATAAAGATACCAGTTCTTCAACTCGACAATGGGAAGAACTGCTCTACCTAAGTGACTAATATGTCATGATATGACATCTAAAGAGTCGATAAAAGATATATATATATATGAAGATTTGAAAATATTTAGAGTGGAGCATTTTTTAATATCATGTGGTAGAGCATTCCAAAGATTAGGACCCAGATAGCGAAGGGAAAGTTTAGAGCATTTAGGGATATGAAAATAATGCAATTGTCTTGTGTAATGATGATGAATATTAATGTTGATATCAAACAAGTCTTGAAATAGATTTTTTGGAAGACTGGGGTGCTTATTAAAGATTTTGTACATGAACTGACCAGTACAATATCTGTTGACATCAAAAATATTTAATATTCTAAGATCTTTAAATAGGGGAGCGGAGTGAGAAAGTCTATCCTTATTTAAAGCTGGCCTTAAGAATTGTTTCTGCAGTTTATGTAGACGATCATAAAATGATTTAAATGTGTTACCCCAGATTATGTTGCAATAATTTAATTGAGAGTGTATCAATGAGTAGTAAATTGTTTTGAAACTGTCTATTTGAAGTAGATGTTTAATGTGATAAAGAGAACCAATGACGCGAGAAATCTTTGTTTCAACAGATTTTATGTGCTCTTTAAATTTCAAGTTTTTATCAATAATAATTCCAAGAAAGTCAATTTTTTCCCGGAAATTTATGTTCTCATTGCGTATTTTAAGATTCAGATTTGTTTGATTTTTTTGGGGTCCAAATAGAATAGCATTGGTTTTGCCAATATTAAGTGAAAGTTTGTTTGCTTTTATCCAGTCATCTATTGAATTCAAGTTTGCCGTACTGTACATTACTTAACAAAACCAGGTAGAATGGTGATGTTCAGAGATTTACTGTAGACTTTGTGTTTTTCTATTTCGTTTATCATATTAGAATTGTAACAGAGACCTCGATTTTATGATTTATGGAAAATGTGTGACCTCAGATTTTATTCTGGCCATTGCCAAAGACCTCAAACGCTTCACGCCCACTTGAAAATGAGAAAAATCATGAAAAATGGGCACATTTTGACCAATTTTAGTCTGAATTGTAAAAATGAGAGTTTTGCACCCACTTTGAGAAAACTGGATGTCGAGGTTAACAGTACTTTTGAAGTTTACAGGTGAGGTATACACTTTTGCCAGTTGACCAAATAGAGAGGTTAACAATTGTTTTGTTAGTCCGAAGAATAGTTTCAATACGAAAGGAGTAAAATTAATTATTATATCACTATCTAGCTAGCGACAGTATGATTGATCAAAAACGGGTGTACATGTTGTGGGATATCTGGCGATATTCAATGGCAATGCTTATCAGATAAGACAACCGTGAGGTATCTAGCGATATCCCACGCTCCCGGGAATTTTCAAAGAATTTGTTTTCGTTCAGTGTAAATAATTTAGTTCAGTGTGGCAGACGATGGCAGACGAACCGAGTAGATTCGTAAAAATATCTGAAGACTTAATGACTTAATAATATTAGGGATGTTTAGCTAGACAGTGATATAATAAAACAAATATTTCACTCTATTTTCGGTGAATACCTGTAGCACTTTCACAAGGTGATATTCCACTTGCCCTTCGGGCTTCGTGGAATATCACTTGAGAAACATGTACAGGTATTCACCTCAATAGAGTGAAATATTTGTTCAATATCACATGGAGATATATTTTTTCTACTATTTTTTTCAAAATTTTTTTTCAACAATTACACTACAAAGTAGTGGTCAATAGTACCTTGTTACGGTCAACAGTACTTAGTAGCGGTCAGCAGTACATATTTGTTCATTTGAATTTTCAGGGACTGGTAGTGGATCTCTATCTCATTCCATCATCCGTGCTATAGCTCCGACAGGACATCTCCACACTTTCGAGTTTCATGAAGAGCGATCAAAGAAAGCAAGAAAGGAATTTGATGACCATGACATTGGTAAGTGACCCAAAGGCGAAACCTTTCTTGATACATTCCTAATCTCACGTCAAGGCTCACACTTCTTTTTTCTTCTATGTTCTTGCAATTTGTGGTCATACTTGGAAATAAATCCAAGCCTTATTGGAATCAGATATAGAATGTCTGTCTGCTTATTATCCCAGTGAATGAGTTTGATGAGAGTGTAGAACACGAACATGTTGAACATGAGAGTTTGCTTCAAAGGGGGAGGCTCTGTTTATAAATTGGAATGAGGATGAAATTCTAAATGATCTTTGTCATGTTGTGCATGTAGAACATGCTGTAAACACTACTACTATTTTTAACATTTTCCTTGTTCGGAAATAACCGTTGTCATATTTCCTGTAAGAAAGCAATTGGGGGAAGGCCATCAACAATAACAGAATTATGTTAGCATCGTTGTATTTATAGCCGGTGAGTTAAAAATGAATTACAAAGTAAAATGTACTATTAATTAATATTATCAATGAAGGGCTCTTTCAAAAAAGGACTCTGTCAAAGTTGGGTCCTGTTGGATCTAAACACCTTATCTATACACATTTGTAGTCATAGACTCTGTGAGGCGTTTTGGAAGACAATGGGGCATTTTGGTCAATTTCGAACAGTTGCGTAGGACTTTTTTAAATTGCTGCGTTTAATGTAATAAATATGCTGATGCAGCCATGGAGGGTTGTATTGGGAGTCCTTGTGCAAAATATAGGGGGAATAATAAAAGAACTGGCGATATATCGAGGCTTTTGGTTGAAATCTCTGAAGATTTGCATCTTCTCACATCTGGGGACCAAAACGCCGCTAAAACGAGGGACTTTGTAAACAAAGGCAATGTCTTGACTGAAAGGTATTTCTGTGAAGGTTTTAATGGAACAAGTTTGAAGAAAAACGGTGTGATGTGAGACTCACAATCATTAATTTTTCAAAGACAGGGTAGAATTTGAAATTCAAATTAATGGTTTTGCGGGGTTTTTTGGTTTCGATACACCCCGGAGAGTTAGTATTGAATATTAAAATATTGACCAAATGGTCCCAAATTAAAATATTCAAGGTTTGTTCAAAAAGCTTTACACAAATATATCTAATTATGAAAATAATGAACCAATCTTGTTCATAGTTGGTAGAAGGGTGATATCATATCCATATCAAATTTCATGTAAAAATAATACAATCTTTTCTCTTGGGAAGCTTTCGTGCAAAACTTTCCGAACGACCCTAATACATGCATTTTCACTGTTTTTCAGGAGAGTATGTAACTGTGCGACATCGTGATGTTTGTGAGAATGGGTTCGACCTTGAGCATGTGGCTGATGCAGTGTTCCTTGATCTGCCTAGACCGTGGGATGCTCTTGTGTCTGCTAAAACTGCATTGAGGAAAGAAGGTACTGCTATATCTTCTTTGTTTATTTGGGGGAATAGGATCAAAAATTAAATGAATTTCGTCAGTTGTCTCCATATATGAATAGTATTCTAGCCTGCCCAAAACCTTTCATCTATGTATCCATCTATGGAGCAAAGGCTCTTATGGGTAAAAGACTTGGTGTTTTTTTAGAATGATTTGTGGTTGGTTTTTGGTTGTACATTTTGGCTTGTTGTGGCTTTTTAGTCTTATTTTAAATAGCATTCAAATAGAGTACTAAATACTGTCCATGATTTATTGTAAGTTATGCAATAATGTGTTTTTGTGCTATGAAATGGCGCAATACATGGAAATAGTTTATAGTCAAAAGAACGAGTTTTGAAGGGTGTTTTGGTCTTTTTTAGGTGGTCGTCTCTGCTCTTTTTCTCCATGCATTGAGCAAGTCCAAAAATCATGTGAAAAATTACGGGATTTGGGATTCACAGAAATTGTTACACTAGAATGCCTTTTAAGGCCATTTAATGTGAGTAACGTATCACTCCCGATGCCTCAAATGTCCTCCATGAAGAAACGTAAATACGAAACTGATGCCGAAGATTGTGATGGTGCAACTAAAGTTTTAAAACAGCCTGATGGTAACTTGAAGGAAGATGATGATCCTCAAAAAGATGAAGTGAAAAATAAAGGTTCTGAGACAAAGAATGTAGTAAAAGATGAGGAATCTGAGATTTTTAATCTGAGACCGTATGTGGACTCTCACGATGCAGTGACAATATGTGGTTCTAATGCAAAATTTAAAACAGGGATCCCCCCGACATTGATGCCTGGCCATACAGGCTATTTGACATTCGCAACACTTTTGCCATATGGATAATAGGTGTTATACAATATGGGTCTAAATTATTTTCATCAGAACAGAACTGAGTGATTTATATATTCAAACTAGCATTTAACGAAGAATACAAGGAGGTAATAATGAAATGTGCAACACACTTGATGATGGCACATCTCTCAATGTGAATTATCAAACATTTATGTTGTGTACATAAAGTACAAAATGCTGGTATTTGGTAAACAAGGAAAATCATATTGAATAGAAAGGTATTTGACAGATGAAAATAAATGACATGATTTATGTTTTTATATGTTCATATAATAGGATGTCTTGTCCATATTTATTTTAAGAATTCGTAAAGATGGCTCTGTGTATTAGCAACTAAAAAAGTCACACTGCATAGTATGAAAAAGTCGACCAACATTCAGAAATCTTCAATCTTTCATAGCTTGGATTAATACTACAGGGTGGGCCAAAAAAACAATATCTACTTTAAATCAGGATAAAAATAGTTATGTTCAATTTGGTACATTGAGTTATATATCATTTTAAAGGTAATTCATTTTCAAACAATTTGGTAAAATAGCACTATGTCATGAAATCAATAGTAAAGTTCTATTGCTATTTAGGGTCTCTAGATTTTAGGGAGAAAATGGTAAATGTGCGAAATTATGTTAATTTTTTATTTATAGAATATCATTTTGTTAGGTGAATACATGCTTGCATAATTGTGTGACTATAACTTATTGTTTATGAATTTCAGTGTTGTTTATTATCAATAAGTACAAAATGGATCTGTTAAAAGACATAAAACATATGTGAGGATCTTATTTTTTAACAAGACATCGCTTGGCTCGTACCTTAGATCAAAGGAGACATTGGCATTCCTTTGCGAACAAGGTGTAAATTTGATTGATCTAGATGCTTGACCACTCAACAGCCCCGATGCTAATGTGATTGATTACCATACTTGGAGCCATCGTGGGGAAATGGTACAATCACAATCATCCAATAAACAGTATTGATGAGCTGAAACATAGAATCCTTAAGTGCTGAAATGAATTTCAACAATAAGGCTATTGATAGATGGCGCTACTGCTTAAAGCTTATTGTTGACGCAGAGGGGGAGGGCATATTGAGCAATTGTTAAAAAGTGTAAAAACAATACTGAATTCATAAACAATAAAAGTCACACAATTATGCAAATATGCAAGCATGTATAATCGTATGTCCTAGAAATGTTACTTTTTCCTTAATCATTTCTCAGCTCAGAAACCTTAAGAGTTTCAATCCTGAATGGATTATGAAATGAGTACCACCTTTTGTTTCCTCAATTGGTACCTGTTATCGAATGGTGATTGAATACCAGATCCTGAATGAATCCCTGACCTGTAGTTGTAGCAGCATTTTCGTGACTGATAGACCTGAACTGGTACTACACAAGGGGACCACATTCAGAGATAATGTAAGTATCACTGAACATGTATATGACTATTTTCCTCAGAATTTTTCTTTAGTTGGTTGCAAAATTCTCAATTGTACAATTTGAGTTGATCACAATTGCCAATTTTCATGAATTTTCTCATTTTGAATATGATACAGGACTATTTTTAAAATCTTAAGTGGGTGCAGCACAAACTTGTTGCTCCAATGCTAGAAAAATCATATAAAAGGCTTTATCCACATATCCTCCAAGTGCACATCCTACCCTAGTGTCCGTTTATCGAACTATTATACCTTGTGATTTAGTGACATTAAGTCATTGTTTAACAATAGACCATTCTCAGATAGTTTTTTTGAAATCATAAGTTATAATTGTTTCAAAAATCAGGGGCGTAGCGTGGGTATTTTGTGAGTGTAGGCCACTTAGAGCGAAACTCTGAAGGGGGAAAAAGTTGAAAATGATATTGTGTTTGAAGCTTTCTCAGAGCCACCTATTATCAAAAAATATGCTTTGTTCAGTGTGATTTGCTTCTCTTTGGATCGAGTTTCTATTTTTCTCGCATAATTATAGTTCTGCTTTTTACAGATAGATGGAGTCGAGATATAGAATCTTCTAATGCGGTTGAATCCAATTCCAGGTGTTCATGCAGATTTATCAACAAGTCTTAAGTTAGGTCCTTTTTTCAACAACAACCAATGGCATCTTCAATCTGGAATTGTGAGTACTGCTTTATATGTTATTCATGGAAGATTTGTCATGGTGGTTATGTTTTAAAATGGAAAATAAAGTGGAAAAGAGTGCAATTAGCAAGGAATAAAAGTAACAGACGTGTAGTCAACAGTCTTAATTGTATAGGAATGCTAGAAGATCATGCAGTTTTAGTGGTATCGATATGATGAACTTTTTGAAAACACGTTTCTCTTAAACCAGTCATCAAAACATTCTGAAAATTTTACACATCGTCAATTTAATGGTCATCTTTTGGATGGTAACATTATAATTTGAAATATATTAATATACGTTTCTCTATATTGTTTTAGAAAACACATAAGACACTTCTTTCGTTCTTGGTATCATATGTTCGGAATGAAATGAAACAGATCGTTTCAATAATTGGTTTAAGAAAAAAACATTGTTGAATTCAGTTCACCATATCGATACCATCCTTTGTAACCTGACCAGAGGCGACTAATTGTATATTTACTATGTGAATTGGTGACATGTTTTTTCAAGTTTTCTTAGATCAGGATGAAATTCAATGCAGTAGCACTAGATTACAAATTTTGAGGAAATGAATCAATATATTGCAAAATATAAAGTTAATCCTGAACTTAAAAATTTACAACTGCTTTGACAAAAGTGAATGCAAACAAATCAGCAGGTATTGATGGTATTCAATCCAATATTACAAAAATTTACAAATCTCTTGTTTCTGATTTTTACATCACTATTTTTAATACTATTTTCGAAAGGGGAGAATATCCAAGTGACTGGACTTTATAAACAAGGCAGTGTTTTCAAGCTGATAAATACATAGGGCCTATGAAAGAAATTTATTTGACTCAGTTTTACAAAATTGTCTTCATTAATGCTGAAATGATCAACCAGACCCACTTCAGGGTATGATGCTTATAAAGAAAATAGACATGCAACTGATAGTATTTTTGTTTTGCAAACCTAAAAGGTTGAATAAACAATATAGAAGAAATTTGGGAATCATTTTACCTTTCACGAGCGATTAGTGCAACGTTTGGCCTAATGTCTTCTTCGCCATACCTATTTTCTTAAAATGTATACACTTGTCGACGAATACCACCATTCAGACTTGCAAATAGACTTCTAAATAAGCAATTGAAAGGTTGGATGTCCCGCATTTTGTTTTTTGAAACATTTCTGAATCTCCGCCATTTAAAATTCTAACTGCAGCGGAGATTAGGTAAGACCGCATGTACGCATGTTTACAGTATAACCGTGGTTGTCTGATATAACCGTATGCACGGTACACGATATGACCGCCGTTGACGGTCTATTACCGGCGACTCCTGCAGTTAACCTGGTCCACTGACGAAGAAAAAAAAAACGAAGACTAAAACACCTCAAATCTGCCCATATTCAAGGTCTTCTTGACACGCGCAAAGTATATAGGAAACAGAATGTTGGATAGAACGTTAGGTGAAAACGGGGCTGGAATCCAATGACAATATCACCGGGAAATCGTTCAGGAGTTTTCTTTGTAGCTAATGAAAATAGATGTTAGGCTTGATGAAATATCCAAAATTCTATATATTTTAACACCAGGACTGTGATCGTTGGATACGTCTCCGCACTGTTTATTCAACCTTTAATGAACAAATAAAGCAGCATAATAAACCATTACAGTATTTACATGTATGATTATTGCACCATATTGCTTATAAAGAAAATAGACATGATACAACTAATAGAATATAACTGATAGTATTTTTATGCAAACATTAATGAACAAATTTAAGCAGCATATGAAACCATCATATATATGTATGATTGACATTAGGAAGGCTTTTGATTACATAGAGTGATTTGTATTGTAATATAAACTGAGTATTTTTGAATTCAACCACAGACTCAAATGTCCAAGATTATTGATAGTACATATATGTACTCTAAATCTAAGTTATGCTTTAAGGTTAGAAAAAGGATTTCCTAAAACTTTTGATGCTGAAATAGAAGTTTTGCAAGGAAGTGTTTTAGGTCCATTTTTATTGAGTCACTTGATAGATGACTCAAATGAAGTATTATCAGTAATTTTGATGTGCCATTAGAGAGATTTCGCACCTAGTGAAAGTACAACTTATAACGTATACTACTTATAGGTAAACGTACAAGGTGTTTCATAATGTGGGCTTTTCGTCAGGAAAGATCTTCTCGGACTGTAATAAATACAGGTCAAAGGGATGCCATTTGTACTTTCTTGAATTGTAGCATGTTTAGTTGATCCAAATGTGTTTGTCTAGAATAAAATAGGCTCATATATAGTACATATGTTATAGAACCATCTCTTCTCAAATTGACTTTTGGAGATGCACGTTATGAAACACCCTGTATGTCATATGTTGAGCTACTGAATGGGTCGTTTCCAGGAATTGCTAGAACCTACTGGTCTGATTGGTGTTTCAAATTGATGGTTAAAGTATTTGATTGGATACTGTTCCCACTCAGCCAATTAATTTCAAAAAATGCTTGCGGTCAATTGTTCCACACACATGTAGGCAAATCTTTATACGGAGATCCAACTGTATATGTTATCATCTACGTAAATATACCGTTTTGTAAGTTCATTGAACTTATACTGATCATGAAAACATTGAAATAATCAACTTGTTTATGAAATGAGTCACTTTAAAGAATCATGACTCACTTTAAAGGATCGTGTTTATAATACACTGCAACAACAAGGACACGGAAGCAAGCATTTAATCATAATGTGCATAATCTACACGTGCAGATGACAGTGCATTCACAGTCTCTAGTTGATGGAGCTTTTCTATAACGGGAATAGTTATGTTCTATTAAGTACAATTTAAAATTGATTTTAGTAAATATAATAGTTTGGCATGACCCTTTAAACTATACGTATACGTATAAGTTGTACTTTCACTTATGTGCGAAATCTCTCTAATATTTAAATGAAGCAAAGTCCAACCATCTACTATGGCCAGTTGGTAGGGAATTTTCTCAGGATTATGAAATTCCGACTAATGTTAAGTTGATAGAGCCAAAGAAAATATGAATTGAAAAAGAGCCAAAGAAAATATGAATTGAAAAATACAAGATATAGATTGAATTCAAAATAATTACTGATAGCCTTAAACATAAACTTAATT